CGGGCCCTGAAAGGTTACTCTAAGGATCACCTTCCTGTCATTTACAAGGCAAACAAGAAGGCATGGATAACCGTTGCCATATTTAGCCAGTGGTTAAATGTGTACTTGGTCCCTGCAATGAAAGAACACTGTGCCAAGGAGAACCTTGACTTCAAAATTCTTCTGATCCTTGGCAATGCTCCAGCTCATCCTCCCAATCTCAACAACTTGCATGACAGTGTAAAAGTTGTATTCCTGCCTCCCAACATGACAGCACTGATGCAGCCCATGGACCAAGGCGTCATAGCCGCATTCAAGGCATATTACAGTCTCTCCTCGACATACGACAACCCGGACATACGACCGCCGTGGTTGTATAAAATATTTTTCAAATTAAGTATTTTATAGTACCGAAACGTTTCGGTCACGTAGGACAGCGTGGGCTGGGCCGCCTCGTGGTGTACAGTATCCACGCCATAGCCTGCTCAGTTGATGTTTGGCCATCGTTGGTGTTAGTGATTGCGCTGTGCACTGACAAAATTTTTGTTTCTAATTCCCTTTAAAATGGCTGGCAAGCGTAAAAGTGAGCGTTCTCGTGGTGCTGATAAGAAAAGGAAACAGTCAATTATTTTTTAGATGAAAATGAAAACAATACAGTAATGCAATATGAAAATGGAACAACGGTAGCAACCATTTCACGCGACCTTGGCTTCTCTCGCTTGACGATACCAACAATTTTGAAGGACAAGGAACAAATTCGAGAGGTAGTGAAAGGATCAGCACCTATAAAGGGAACAATAATAACGAAAAAAGACAAGGTCCTCTTCAAGAGGTGGAAAAATTACTTGTGATGTGGATGGAAGATCAGCTGTATAAGTGTGTACCCTTAAGCCTTCAACCCATACAGGCAAAGGCAAGAAGCCTTTTCGAAAGTCTGAAAGAGCAGGCAGGAGATGAGTGCGACCAAAACTTCACAGCAAATCATGGGTGGTTCCAAAAGTTTAAGAACCATTACAGCTTGCACAGTGTAAAGGTGAGTGGAGAGGCAGCAAGTGCTGATGTGAGTGCTGCCGAAGCTTTTAAGGAGGAGCTAGATCGTGTCATCGTGGAGGGAAATTATTTGCCTGAGCAAATATTTGATGTGGATGAAACTGGCTTATTCTGGAAGCGCATGCCCGGATTCAAGGACCGAATCACACTTCTGTTGGGGGGGGGGGGATGTAGCTGGTTTCGAGGTAAAACCCTTCATGATATATCATTTAGAGAACCCAAGGGCTTTTGAACATTTCAACAAGCACACACTGCCAGTGTTTTATCTCAGTAATACGAAAGCATGGATGACCCTAGTACTGTTTGAGGATTGGTTCCCGAGTTGTTTCATTCCACTAGCCAAGGAGTATTGTCTGCAACAAGGGGTTGCGTTCAAGAGTTTATTAACTTTAGATAATGCTCCGGGACACCTACCACACCTGGACGACCTGCACCCTGATGTTAAGGTAGTCTACATTCCACCTAACACTACCTCTATCATCCAACCCATGGATCAAGGTGCTATTGCTGCTTTCAAAGCGTATTGTTTACGTACAACCTTCGCTCAGGCTGTTGCTGCTACTGAAGGCGAGAAAATGCTCAGACAGTTTTGGAAGGACTACAACATATTACAATGTACAAAGAACATAGCTGTAGCATGGTATGAGGTTACAGATCAGTGCATGAATGGAAAATGGAAAAAGGTACTGAAAAGATATGTGAACAGTTTCAAAGGATTTAATGAAGATGAAGCAATTTCTGAGACTAGTAACAAGATAAGTGCAGATGGGTTAACAGATGGAGTTAGAAATTGATAATGAAGATGTTAAGCAGTTTGTTGTAAATGTAGCAGAAGAGCTAAGTAACGAGGATCTTATTGAACTGGACGCACAGAAAATTGCAGAGGAAGAAGAGAGACAAAATGTAGAAGAACCTGCACCCCCTAAAAAGTTTTCAGTGAAACAAATGGCAGAGGCATTTGCTACTATTAATAAGGGGATGCAAATGTTTGAAAAAACGGATCAAAATGTGGAGTGCTTTGCAAAAGTTGACAGACTGATCCAAGAGTGCACTTGCTTGCTACAGGGAGATTTACAATGAAAAGAAAAGGCAAACCGTGCAGTCTAAATTGGAAATTTTTTAAGAAGTCCCCCACTGCTGACTCCTCACGCCCCACAACTGCTGCCTCTTCATTCCCTAAAGATGATCCAATACCTTCAACAAGCAAGTATGTTAGCCTGTCTGAAGAAAGTGAACTTAATGACCCACCCAGCCCTATCTCCTCCTCTGCTTCATCCAATTAATGTAGTCTACATGCTTCATTAAAAAATTATTGAGGCCATGTGTGCATTCAGCTGACTACATTAAAGGTAAGTTCACAGTAACTCTTTATTCATTTTTCATTATTGATTATACTTTTACTGTACTGTATTTCATTTTAGAATTTCTATGTACAGTATTATTTTTCGCTCTTTCAATTTACGACCTGGTCGTCGGGACGTAACCCCGTCGTAAGTCAAGGAGAGACTTGGTATTTAAGCCGTACCTTGGCCCATCTGATCGAAGGCTACAGATATAATAAACCTACGATCCAAGAATACTGGTGTGGTTTCAACATTCTTCATGCAATTGACAACATTGGCAAGGCATGGGAAGAGGTTTCAGAAAGTTGCCTGAATGGTGTGTGGCATAAACTGTGGCCCCGAGTGCGTCAACAGTTTTACGGGATTCACGGACTTAGTCCTACCTGTGAATAGGGATATCCTCAGCTTGGCTAAACAGGCAAGCTTTAATAAGCTGGAATCAGAGGATATTGAGGACATCCAGGCATCCCATACAGAAGAGCTCACCAATGAGGATTTGCAACAACTAACAGAACAGAGTCCCATTGAAGATGAAGACGACGAAGAAGAACCCCAACAATCGCTAACTACCAAGAGGATGGCAGAAGCGTTCAACATGTTCCAGAGCAATGCAAATCCTTGGAGATGACGACCTAAACAGAGAACGTAGCTCAAAGATTCAACGCAGCATTGAAGGAAGTCTTGGTTGTTACACTGAGATGTATAAGGAGAAGAAGAGAAGCACCAAGCAGTCAACAGTGAATTTATTTTTTTGTCGCGGGACGGCAGAAGCAGCTTCTTCACAACAGCCAGCAGCCAAGGAAGAGCACACAGATGCCAAGGAGGAGCAAAGAACAATGGAAGAGGAGCAAGCAGCGGCGGAGGAACCCCAGTCAGCGCAGGAGGCAGCCGAAGTCTCAGTGACTCACCAACCTCCTCCGCTCCTGTCATTCTCCTTTTGCTTCACTACCCACCACACACTCGCTCTACCACCTCGGCCCATCAGTGAGTACCCATACAAACTTAGTACAGTAGTTGTATATGCATGCACTATTTTCTATAGAAATGGCAATGATTACCCGTATATGTAATGTATTTCACGGGGCAAAGGGAGGCTCAGGAACATAACTCCTGTATTTTATCTATTTCTTATGGGGAAAATTGATCAGCTTAACTTTGTTTCATATAACGTCGCATTTTCAGGAACGTAACCCCGACATTAAGCGATGACTTACTGTACAGGTATCCCCCATTCCCAGAATTTTCCAGGGACTGGAAATTTTTTCTCAGAATTTCCGGAAAATTCACCTAATTTTCATTTCTCAAACCTGGAATAAAACTCCCCCACCCCTGGAATTTTCTGGGAACTGGGAATTTTTTTTCCCCTAAATATGTGCCCCTCAGAAAATCGCTCCCAAAGCCGGATTTTTCTGGAAAATTCCGGCTTTAAGAAAGATTTTCGAGAAAATTTCAATTCCAGCTATCGGAGAGTTCCAAGTCCGAGGAATTTCGGCTAGTGAAGATATCACTGTATTAATAAAGCCACATTGTATACAAAGGGATTTATTACAATACATAATCATTATATGTACAAAAGAGGGAAGAGCGCATATCATTATCAACATATAAACATATTTACCACATAACTTAATGACAAATTAAAAACAATGGTAAAGTTAAAATAATATAAACTGTCACTACCCTAAAAGCAGATAGAGCTATTCCCCAGTAACACCACAGATACAGTTCTAAAGACTATCATGCTAAGTGAACACCTGTCGAGTTCAATTAATACAAAGCTCAAATTCCAAACACCTGAGGTCCAAGCAGTGTGTGGAATTATAAAAGTTACCAACTTTTGAGTGGTATGGAGTCTAGATTGTAGTTTTGCATAAAAAATTCCTTATAAATGGCATTTATAAATGTAAGGGCGGAAACGACCTTCCTGCTCGTTACCGCTGCTAACTCTCTTGTTTGCTGGCGCGACCCCCACTTGGGGAGGGTTGGACGGAGGTGGAGGTGGTTCGCTGCTACCAGTGTCAATGGGAGATTCACCCCAGCCGTCATACAGTCACTGTCTATCTACCCCGCTGTTCGTCAAATTCTGGCTGTGATCTCATCATAGGTCCTGGACTTGTGGGCTGTTTTCCCAGACCTTCACAATTTGTCTGTTAATCTCCGGACACCTACCCCAAACCACTACCGCAGCCGCCACAATCGCCAGCACCTCTCCACCGTCTGTGCCCCGGTGTTTCATCTGCTGTATCAAGACATATCAGCCGCTGTCGCTCGGGTGAGGAGTTGGACGGACGATTCCCCCTGAGAGTGGATCAGTGTGTTCTGGAACCTTCCCCAGGGCCACTGCCCTAGGAACTATCAGTTCATTGTTTGATTCCTTTAAATGCTGACTCCCTTTTATTGTTTGATTCTATCAGTTGACTCCCATTAATTGATTGATTCAATTAATTGCTGACTCCCATTAATTGTTTGCTTCCTTTAATTGTTTGCTTCCCTTAATTGTTTGACTCCATTAACTGTTTACTGCATTAATTATTTGACTCCCGTAATTGTTACTTGATGTTTGTTGAGTGGTGTCAGAGTTTTGTGTTATATTTTTTATAGTAAAGAGATGTCAATCTCAAACGGCTGTTTGTTATTCCACATAAAACCATGGTCCTTGACTTTCCTTTATTAAGATCCTGATTAATCTGGTAAGGGATTTCTATACCTAAGTCCCAGGCCTTTACAATAAACAATACATATAAAGATAATACAAAGAAACACAATGATAGATAAATAAAATATAAATATCAAGAATGATTTATTATGAGATGTTAGGTTGTGTAACATCACCATTATGTATTATTCAATGGTGATTTTGACTCAACAAGACACGATGCGAGATTGTGCCCCCACACACACACAGCCACGCTCCACAACTATACAGTACTTATACAGGCATACCCTGATAACCAACGCATATAGGGACAGGAAAAAGTCACTGGTTAGTGAATCAAGAGTTATTGAAGCAATTGGTCCCATAAGAATATAACAAATTCAATTTCCATCTACCCTTGACTTATGTCTGTACTGTACACTGCCAAGCAAGAAAATAAAGCAGTCATATAATGCAAGCATAATAAGCCTTAAATAAGCAATGTAAGGCATAAATTGAGACAGTTATCTACCGTATTTGCTGGCGTATGATGCATAATTTTTTTTTAAATGTCTCACAAATCACTCTGCGTCTAATGCGCCCGTATTACGGATGGGAGGCCGAGGATCATAGGCGGAGGTGCCTAGCCAGAGAGTCTGGGGCGAGAAGTTGTCCACTAAGCAAAAAAATTATGTTACTAATAATAAAATACTGTACTGAATAACAAGCCAAATTATCACAAACTTATGGCAAATTTGCCATAGACATAAATAATGGCTTATATTGACTTAACAGCAGAGGGAAGCTCACATCATCTCACTGTACCTCCTTCCCCAGCATACGTAACCCACAACAGATACATGTCTTACATTATTTAATGACTGTGTTGCCTTTAAGAAACATTTGTTTATTATCTACATGAAAAATGCCCCTAGAAAGATTCAAGAAATGTTAACAGAAAGTTCAGCCGCCAATCAGCCATTTGCAATGAGTCGATGACGCCAAAACAATAGCGATGGTGCTACACCCTGGTGGCCAATCGTGGCACCACAAAACATCTCATCTAAAATACGAGTTTCACATCCTGTAGGTAATTCTCTTGACCAAAATATAAACAAGCCACACAGCTGCTCTGATCAGAGGTACAGTTGGGTTAGCATAATGTAACTATATATGATTTCCTACTTGATTGCAGTATATATTGTATTTACTTGGACAAAATCATATGTTATCCCCTACAAAACCACTATAAAATCACTTTTAATAATTGTGTGACAAAGCATTAAAAAAAAAAAAAAAAATATCCACAAAATATCCTTGTAAAATAAGGGTGCATCTTATGCGGTGATGCATCTTATTTGCCGGAAAATGCGGTTCCTGTGTTGAGGATGGTAGAGACAGTCTAGGGTAGCAAGTTCAACTCTACCACACTTTGCTCGTCCATCACCACTCTTATTACACTTATCACATCACATAAAGTTTTCCAGCACAAGAGGAACTATCATTGGGGTGTTTAGGCATGATTGAGTAACACACTAAGTAGGAAAAAATAAAAAGCACGAAGTCAGAGACACATAGTATGTGTAAACAAGAGCAAAGATGGCGGGAATGAGTGTGAGGCAGTGCGTACAGCACTCTGGTGGCAAGAATTCACACCAGACCAACACTGCCAATCGTCGGATCTCTGGGGTATCAACGAAACTTGCAGGGTATTTTTCCTATATGAAATTGTCGGTTATGTGAATCAGTGGACAACGGGATGTCGGTTATCAAGGTTCACCTGCAATTGAATTATTCTATACATTATATACTGTACATATAAATTCACAAAAGAGTTTAAGATTGGACAAAATCATAAACTTATGCCCAAATCTTGGTGCAAATTATAAATCTAAACCCTGTGGCTTCTTGAGCATTATGTACTTTTGAGGTTTGGATTTTTTAGCTTTCTCCTTTATGACAATCAAACTTAGAGCCATATTTTGCTTACATTGGTGCTTGATCCCTTCGGTAAACATTCTATTCATAGCACAAATCTTACTGGTAGCTGGACACCTACTGCTGCTCCTCTAAGGCATCAGGGCTCTTATATATGAATCCACAGACTCACTGGAAAGGCTCAACCAGTGGTGGTGGGCAAGTGTTTAACTGTCATATAATGCAAAGTTTTAAGTGGCAACAGGACATGACTGAAGTCAACAGCATCAACATGGCTGGGTCTACCTGTGACCATTACTTGTTAACAAAATTATTGTGCAAGTTCTACTAGACTCAGAATACACCTCAACTAACACAAGTTTATTTAAAAAAATATTCTTTCATGTCATGGTAAAGTACTAAGGCCACGGTAAAAGAAATTTACATCTTAAGAGCAGATAATTACTGTTTAATATCTAGAAAAGTGGCACTTCTCTTTATTTTTTCTACATTCATAGAGTTTGTTCAGGTGGTTTTATATTGATGTATATCACTGTATTCAAGTTTATGTATTACATTTACCTTCTGCTAAAGCCATTCAAGCATTCATTGAATTCTGTTTACATTTTTCATGCACAAGTTTATGAGCTCTGAGAGACCGCTTCCAGGAGAAACATTTCCCACATTCCTCACATTTAATTTTTTTTTTACCACTGTGGAGAGTCATGTGACTCTTGAGATCACTGTTAGTTACAAAATGTTTCCCACACTCCTCACATTCAAACTCTTTTATACCATAGTGTCTAAGTATGTGTATCTTGATTTCATTCTTGCGTGAAAAACATTTCCCACACTCCTCACATTTGAACTCCTTTATGCCACTGTGTCCAAGTATGTGCATCTTGAGAGTACTCTTACGTGTAAAATGTTTCCCACATTCATCACATTCAAACTTTTTGAGACCACTGTGCATAAGTTTGTGTCTACTGATATCACCTTTTTTTGCAAAATACTTCCCACATTCATCACATTCCAAAGTTTTGATATCATTGTGTACAAACATGTGTTTATTGAGATCACACTTTTGTGCAAAATGTTTCCCACATTCAGGACATTCAAATTTTTTGATACCATTGTGTACAGATGAGTGTGCCTTAAGACCAACCTTTTGAGCAAATTGTTTCCCACATTCATCACACTGAAACTCTTTTTTACCACTGTGTAAGAGTATGTGTGACTTTAGATAATTTTTACTTGAAATATGTTTTCCACAAATGTCACATTGAAACTCTTTTATACCACTATGTCCAAGCTTGTGTGTCCTGAGGTAACTCTTTTGTGCAAAATGCTTCCCACATTCATCACATTTGAACTTTGTTACACCCTTGTGTACAAGTTGTATGTGCCTCTTGAGACCCTGCTTACGTGAGAAATGTTTCCCACATTCATCACATTCCACATCTTTCTTACCATTGTGTATGAGTAAATGTTTCTTAAGAGTAGACTTTAGGAAAAACCATTGGCCACATTCCTCACAGGATAACTTTTTTTCTCTGCTTGACATTGTGTAGTCTCTGGCAGGATATATCAGCCCGGGGTAATGTCTGACAGGTTATATCAGTCTCAGGTAGTCTCTGGCAGGTTATATCAGCCTGGGGTAGTCTCTGGCAGGTTGTATCAACATGGGGTTGTCTCTGACAGGTTATATCAGCCTCAGGTAGTCTCTGGCAGGTTGTATCAACATGGGGTTGTCTCTGGCAGGTTATATCAGCCTGGGGTAGTCTCTGGCAGGTTATATCAGCCTGCAGTAGTCTCTGGCAGGTTATATCAGTCTCAGGTAGTCTCTGGCAGGTTATATCAGCCTGGGGTAGTCTCTGGCAGGTTGTATCAACATGGGGTTGTCTCTGGCAGGTTATATCAGCCTCAGGTAGTCTCTGGCAGGTTATATCAGGCGGTAGTCTCTGGCAGGTTATATCAGGCGGTAGTCTCTGGCAAGTTATATCAGCCTGGGGTAGTCTCTGGCAGGTTGTATCAACATGGGGTTGTCTCTGGCAGGTTATATTTGTTGTTGAGAAAACAGATGATGACCAGGTAGTTGAGTCAATCTTCCCAACTGCCTAGAATGCACAGGAAAAATACACCATTAATTTACATCTATTAATAGGATATTCTGGCAATGATACACATATATAAAACTATACCAGTATGGGGTAAATATACATATAAAACTATACCAGTATGGGGTAAATATACATATAAAACTATACCAGTATGGGGTAAATATACACTTAAAACTATACCAGTATGGGGTAAATATACATAAAACTATACCAGTATGGGGTAAATATACATATAAAACTATACCAGTATGGGGTAAATATACATATAAAACTATACCAGTATGGGGTAAATATACATATAAAACTATACCAGTATGGGGTAAATATACATATAAAACTATACCAGTATGGGGTAAATATACATATAAAACTATACCAGTATGGGGTAAATATATATAAAACTATGCCAGTATGGGGTAAATATACATATATACCAGTATGGGGTAAATATACATATAAAACTATACCAGTATGGGGTAAATATACATATAAAACTATACCAGTAAGGGGTAAATATACATATAAAACTATACCAGTATGGGGTAAATATATATAAAACTATACCAGTATGGGGTAAATATACATATAAAACTATACCAGTATGGGGTAAATATACATATAAAACTATACCAGTATGGGGTAAATATACATATAAAACTATACCAGTATGGGGTAAATATACATATAAAACTATACCAGTAAGGGGTAAATATACATATAAAACTATACCAGTATGGGGTAAATATACATATAAAACTATACCAGTATGGGGTAAATATACATATAAAACTATACCAGTATGGGGTAAATATACATATAAAACTATACCAGTATGGGGTAAATATACACTTAAAACTATACCAGTATGGGGTAAATATACATATAAAACTATACCAGTATGGGGTAAATATACATATAAAACTATACCAGTATGGGGTAAATATACATATAAAACTATACCAGTAAGGGGTAAATATACACTTAAAACTATACCAGTATGGGGTAAATATACATATAAAACTATACCAGTATGGGGTAAATATACATATAAAACTATACCAGTATGGGGTAAATATACATATAAAACTATACCAGTATGGGGTAAATATACATATAAAACTATACCAGTATGGGGTAAATATACATATAAAACTATACCAGTAAGGGGTAAATATACACTTAAAACTATACCAGTATGGGGTAAATATACACTTAAAACTATACCAGTATGGGGTAAATATACACATAAAACTACAGGTTGTACCTCTCTAGTCCGGCATTCTGTGGTCCGGAACGATTTTAGTTTGTCCAATAGGTAGATAGGCAGCTTGCTTCTTCTTCTTCTTTTTTTTTTTTTTTAACTTATCTGAATTATTATTATTATTACAGGAGTATTAAATGTTTGCCCCTCAGGCCCCAACGTGGGTCAGTGACCTATGCCCGGGTAGGCTACTCCCCGTAAAAAACAACAACAACAAAGCTGCGGGAAATTAAGGTTTGTTTTACATCCGGCAGTTCGGCTGCTCTCTCTCTCTGCTTGTCTATACAGAGTACAACATTTAACCCTTCCATATATATGAGCAGTAAATAAGTGTTTTCATATTCTTATGTAGAGTAATGACGATATGTTTTCACATGTGTGCACTTACATACACGCAGTCTCACTTTTCTTTTACCATTAATGGTTAGCTACTTATATTGTTCCATTTATTAACATTAAATAACATTACAGGTACAGTACTCCCTCTTTATCGACGGATTTTTTATAGACGGTTTCGATTATCGACGGATTATTTAGCCGGATTTTTATTTTGAAATGTGCTTGATATAATCCATTCACGGAAATGTAATATTTTTGCTAAAATGACGTATGTATTACAGTGGAAAGTGGGATCAAATCGTGACGAAAACAATGACTTGCGCTTTCTTTCGTTCAAAAGATGTTACCGTAATCACTTTTCGAATGGTTTAGTTAAAAAACTGTTGTATTGTATTACAATAATATCCTAATTGACTTGAATAAATATTACGATACCATATTTCTGAATATTTTCATTAAAATCCATCAAAATCATTTTCTTTGTCATCGTCTGCAGCACCACACAGCTTCTCCCAGTCCTCTCCTTGAACAGGGCTACAGGGTACACGTGTTTTTCGAATCGTTTTCAGTTAAAAAATTATTACATCACACGTATATTTTACCTAAACTGCGCCTGAATGAATATATTCTCGGAAATAAATAGTAGTTTTGCTGAAACGTGACGTATTTCAATGTAAAATAGGATAAAATACATGACGAAAACAAAAGACTTTACCTAACCTTCCAATGTTCTTGAGATGTTACTCGTTTTTTTAATAGTTTTCGGTTAAAATTCTGTTATATTACAATGATATTCTATTCATACTGTGCTTGATATAATACATTCACGGAAATGTAATATTTTTGTTGAAATGACGTATGTATTACAGTGGAAAGTGGGATCAAATCGTGACGAAAACAATGACTTGCGCTTTCTTTCGTTCAAAAGATGTTACCGTAATCACTTTTCGAATGGTTTAGTTAAAAAACTGTTGTATTACAATAATATTCCCTCCTAATTGACTTGAATAAATACTTGAATGGAAATATACAATATTTTTGTTGAAACTACCCGCGTTTCAGTGTAAAGTGTTGTAATAATAAATGGTAAACAATTTGCCTTGGGCATCCGGATTTTTGGACTTTTACTGTACTGTACACTGTTTTGTTTACTGTAAGGACCGATGTTCACTTCAATAAATGAAATCGTAAGTTTGCTAGTATTTTTGTCCACTTATTATATTATTATTTATACACTATTATTTAAGGTTATGTGTAAAGGAAACGCATTAATGCTTAAAGGTACATTTATTCAACATATGCTAATAATAGTTAGAAAAATTACGTAACCATCACGGTATCGACGGTTTCTTTATCGACTGCCGTTTACAGAACGTAACCCCCGTCGATAAAGAGGGAGTACTGTACTTCAAACAACCATATTATTTTTTTTACATTAATTTTACTACAGCTACAATCAGGGTCTTATTTTCTTCAGTTTTATATGTAGAACCAATGAGTCACTGGTTTTAAAAGCTTTAACATAAACAATGCCAGCAGCCGTCTCGTCTTCTCGTGTGTTTTAATATTCCACGTATTATTAATAAATTGTAATGTTAATTTTGCACACACAAACATTAATTCAATAAAAACAAATTCAGAAACATTAATTATAATATATATGAACAGTAAATAAGTGTTGCTTTCATATTCTTATGTAAAGTAATGACGATATGTTTTCACGTGTGCGCACTTACATATGCGATCTCTCTTTTTCTTTACCATTATCGTTCCATTTATTAACATTAAATAACATTACTTAAAACAGCCATATTAATTTTACTACACCTACAACCAAAGTCTTATTTTCTTCAGTTTTATATGTAGAACCAGTCAGTCACTGGTTTTGTAATCAACGAAAACAATGCTGTCATTTCCTCGTGTGTTTTAATATTCTACGTATTATTAATGAATTGTATTGCTAATTTTGCACACATAAACATTAATTCAATAAAAAAGACATTCAGTAATAAACAATAATGAATCTTTTGTACATAAGAGAAATGATGCTGTTTACACGATTATGCACGTCGTCTGCAAGTTGGAGGGCCGTTCAAACCCGTCGAAATTCAAGTTTCCGCCGTCAAAAGTTGTATTTATTTTTTTGTGTGTGTGTTCCAATAAAATACGTTGAATTAAAAACTCGCGAAATTTGAGAAGCTACTATACAACATTTAACCCTTCAATATGCCTTAAAAGAGACCATGATGCAGAGAAAGTGGTGTTAGTGCTTCCAAGCATAAGCACAAGTCACTATCTATCCAGGTAAAAGGGTGAATTTCCATGGTCCGGCACCAGTTAGGTCCCGAGGTTGCCGGACTAGAGAGGGACAACCTGTATACTAGTATGGGGTAAATATACACATAAAACTATACCAGTAAGGGGTAAATATACACATAAAACTATACCAGTATGCGGTAAATATACATATAAAACTATACCAGTATGGGGTAAATATACATATAAACTATACCAATATGGGATATATATATATACACACTGTGATGCGCCGGTTAACGTCAGACCGAGCAACATCCGATCGCATATGTCTGTGCCCCCCCCCCCAAAAAAAAATCCGCGACGCCGACTGGATTACAACTCCACAACCCCCTGACGGAGACACGATGATCCTCCCCATACTGATCAGATATTATGTGTTAAAGGAATATGCTTCCTTCCTTAGGCTCTTTTTTAAGCATCTGCCTCCAGGTGTAATGTTAACCTACATCTATTGAACATAAAATCTTTCACCTACTAATTGACAATAACACATTTGCTGTAATCAGACATATCTAGTTGCCTCAACAATTGCACCCCCAGTTGCAATTGGGGTTGCAATTTCAAATTCTGTGGCATTACTAAGATTAGTGAAGTCTCTGGTGCACTCAAAGATTAAGAGAGAAAATGGAGGACTCAGCAACCTGACGTGAGAGAAAACGGACTCCTATGACGGGGGACCAAATAAAAAAAGCATAGCTTTGTAATAAACTTAGCCATGCCTATGTGTGTTTATGATATTTACCATAACATTATATATA